GAGTCTGTGTGTGTGTCATGGAGCAGCAATTTTCACAGCAATTTTCACAGCAGTTTTTCAGAGAGCAGCAGTGGCAGAGCATGACCTGAGTCTGGAGTTGCGGTGTGAAACGCGCCCGGAGCGAGGCTGGGGTTGGCATTTCTGAGCTTTGGGAAACAGCCACCCTCCCATTTCCTCATCTCTCAGCTCCACTCTCACTGCTCACTTCAGCTCAGCAAACTCAGCCCAAGCCAGCCCTGAATTTCCTCAATCAAGTGGTATTATTTCCTCAAGGAGGCAGTGAGTGCTGCCCTCCCTTTGAGGGAGCTCCAGGAGGGTGAGAGCACTTGGGGAATGGTTTAGAGCATCATTCCCCAGTTCTGTGACCAAAATCCAGGAATGGATCCACGTGGCTTTGCAGGGAATTGTCAGAGTTGAGGTGGTTTTTTCTTCAGGGAACATCCCATAGCTCTGTCTCTTGGAATCAGGGTGGTGGGATAAAGGATTATCGCTTTAAACTGACACAAAGGGAAGGTCTAGATGAAATATTAGGAGGAAATTCCTCACTGTGAGGATGGTGAGGCCCTGGAACTCAGGAAGAGGTTGCCCAGGTGGCTGTCCCATCCCTGGAATGTCCAAGGCCAGGTTGGACAGGGTTTGGAGCACCTTGGGATAGTGGAAGGTGTCCCTGCCCATGGCAGGGGTGGAGCTGGATGAGCTTTAAGGTCCCTTCCTACCCAAACCATTCTGGAATTCAATGATTTTATGAAATCAGGAGTTCAGAGTAAGAAGCTGGCACCTTTAAGGCTTAAAGACCATTCCCTATTTCTCTCCTATGAATAATCTGTCTGAAGAGAGTCTGAAAAGATAACTTGAAATTAAAATTAATAGTTTCTTCAAGCTTTCAGCATTTTGCTCTGTTAACATCAGCATCATTCTGCAAAATTTGGGAAGTAGCTGAAGCTAACTCAGTTTGCAGCTCCCCTGTTTTTAATGGAGTGTTTGTAAATCCTACACAGAACTAGTAGCATGAAATTGTAAAAAACCCTGCAGTAATAATTCTAAATATGTTAACATCTCTCTGGAATAGCCTCAATTTAAGCAAGGATGTATATCTGTGAAAATATGGGTTTGTTATTTATTATTTTAATCAGGGAAAGGCAGCCAGGCACATTTTATTCATGGTGAATCTCAGAGTACCTATTTTCAGGCCATTACTTCTTGCATGGAAAATAGCAATATGTCAGAATTCTTTCTAAGGTGTGCATTGCATCTCTGCATGAGTGGGTTTTCTTCTTAGAAAAACCATAAATTAGAGTTGTTTCCCTGTGTTCCAATGTACTGCTTCAAGTAATTGTTGCTCTGGGGTCAGTATTTCAACGTGCATTTGTATCAGGTGAATTCTCTGCCTGTTTAAATGAAGATTTATGACTTCAGTTGGTGTTAATTTAACAAGCGAGTAGAGGGATTTGCTATCTAATAAAATTTTTAAAAGAAATTTATTGTGAAGAGCCAGAAGAAGAAAAAAATTAATAACCTCATCTTTATAGCAGAACAGATGAGCAGGTGTGTGTGCTGGGAGTCTGCACGTGTCTGTAGCTGCATTGCCTGGAAATTACACCCAATTTTCTTCAGAGGTTCTGTCAAACTGCTGATCAAAATCAGTGGGGGTTGTGGTGCAGTGCCACTGGATGTGTTGCACTGGGAATTTCAATGATTCCTGGGAGATAATGAGAGGGTAAGAGCAGCTCTGACAGCCTGTGACACCCGTGGGGTGACAGGTGACAAAAATGGCTTGGAACTGAGCTTTAGTGCACTTGTGCCAGGATGAGGCACAAGGAGGTCTGAGGAAAAAAATACAAACGTTTCCTTACAGTTTGGAGTTTGGTTTTCTCATGGAGCTGAGTGGTTCTGTTTGGGCAGGATTATTCCAGCAGGAGAGAAGGCTCCAGGGAGAGCTCAGAGCCTGAAGGGGCTCCAGGAGAGCTGGAGAGGGACTGGGGACAAGGCATGGAGGGACAGGACACAGGGAATGGCTTCACTGCCAGAGGGCAGGGATGGATGGGAGATTGGGAATTGGAAAGGTTGAAGGGTGCCCAGATTTGCTGTGGCTGCCCCTGGATCCCTGGCAGTGTCCCAGGCCAGGCTGGACAGGGCTTGGAGCAACCTGGGACAGTGGAACGTGTCCCTGTCGTGGCAGGGGGTGGCACTGGATGATTTTTTAAGTCCCTTCCAAATCAAACCCTTCTGGGATTTTGCAAATTTGGGACTGTTGTGCTGGACCACAGCTGGACAACCTCAACTTCACTAAGATGAGCCCCCTCTGAGTAAAATCAAACTTTACATTTCCAAAGTTCTGGATGAGCACACAAAGCCAGCACAGGTTTTAGGAGGGGAGACCTGAAGCTTTTCCCAAAAGGTTTGGCAGAATTGCAAGGCCACTTTATTTTCTCCAAACTCCTCTTTCTTGCTTTGACTTATATTTTAAAAAACTCTCTGCGTCAGTTTGTGAACAGCTTTAATAAGAACTGGACCCTTTCAAACAGCAAAAAGCTCTGTAGTTGTTGTATTTAAAGGTTTAGGGATGTCTAATAGCTGTTCCTCCAAAATATTTCCAGCTTCTACTCATAATAAGAAATAATGTGGATGGTTTTTTCTGCTCTAGTAGGACCAGGTTATTTACCATTTCTTTCACCTCAAGTAGTTGTTGTGGTATAAAATTTTGTGCTTTGTTTATACAATATTTCTATTAATCTATTAAGCTTTAATTTGCTGCTTGGATGATTTCCTCCTAAATTTTACTGTTTCTGAATTCCTCTTTGCTGGTGTCAAGCTTTAACCCCAGCCTGCAGCTGCAGTGGGATGGGGAGGAGAACTGGGAAAAGGTAAAACCCATGGGTTGAGATGAGAACTGTTTAATAATTAAAATAATAATGGGAAAAAAATTCCAGAAATAAATCTGGGTCTGGTCATGTTCCCCCCCAGATTCTTGTGCAGCTCCTTATTGGCAGAGCATGAGACACTGAAAAATCCCTGATTTAGGGTGAGCACAACCAAAACAACCAAAATATCAATATTATCCTCATCCTAAATCCAAATTGTGCTGTACCAACTACCAGGAGGGAAATTAACTTTATCCCAGCCAAAACCACCTCCTTCATGCAGAGAAGTGAAGCTGGCTTGGCAATACCAAGGAGCTGTGGGCATTTTCAATAATCTCCTTTATTTTGCTCACTCAGGGACTCCAGAAATGTTCATCTATTCACTGGAATTTTATCTTCTTTACAGTCTGGAATTTCCTTGTCCTGTTGTGTGTGGGGGTGGCAGGGAGGGTTTTGTGCCTGGCAAGGATGGGTCAGCTCAAGCCTTAAATCAACCCTGATTTAAGCAGATCCTCCTGCTGAATTTATTTTTCCTTTATCATGGGAAGGATATTCTGCTTCATTTAAACCTTTGCCATCTCTTTGGACAAGAATCCAGGAGATCAGGAGTGCAATCACACCAGGCTTTAAAAATAGAGATGCTGAGCACTTGCATTTCCTGGCTGTTTGCACAGGCCTGCAGTGCCTGCTTTGGAAAAAAGGATGTACAGGATGCTACTTCCCTTTCCTCCTTTTTTTTTCCTCCCTTTCCCCCTTTTTTTTCCCTCCCTTTCCCCTTTTTTCTCCCTTCCCTTCCCCCTTTTTTTCTCCCTTCCCTCTCTTCTTCTTCATTGCTTTTTTTTTTCCTCCCTTTCCCCCTTTTTTTCCTCCCTTTCCCCCTTTTTTTCTCCCTTCCCCCTTTTTTCCTCCCTTTCCCCCTTTTTTTTTCTCCCTTCCCCCTTTTTTTCTCCCTTTCCCTTTTTTTCCCACTTTTCCCCTTTTTTCCTTCCCCCGTTTTTTCCTTTCCTTGCTTTTTCCCCCTTCCCTCTTGTTTCTTTCCCCCGCTTTACTCGCCGTTTTTTTTCTCACTTTCCCCTTTTCCTCCCTTCTTCCATTTTCCTTTCCCTGCTTTTTTTCCCTTTTATGCTTCCCCCTTTTTTATTTCCCTTTTTTCTCACTTTCCCCTCTACCCCCTACTTTCTCGTTTACCACCTTTTCCCTTCCCCCTTTTCCCTTCCTCCTTTTCCTCTTCGCCCTTTTACTGCTTTCTCCTTTTCCCCCCCCTTTCCCCAACTTTTCTTTCCCCCTTTCCCTATTTCATTTCTCTTCCCCCTTTTTTTCTTCCCCCTTTTTTTCTTTTCTTTCATCAGAAAATAAGTGGCACTGATGGAAAAGTGTTTTCACTGCCTCTCTCAAAAATGTGGTACATTATTAATCTGCTCTTTTAGCAGCATAATGAACTTTTCCTGGGGGGAAAAAAATGGGGAAAGGAGAAGAGATAATTGTAGAAAGTATTTTGGGGTTAGGTTTTTTTCTTTCCAAACCACTGACCTTCATATCCTTTCCTGTTGAGGTATTTTAAGTTTTTCTCATCCCTTGAGAGAGGTGGAGCAATGTTCATGTTCAGATGTGCTGTAAAAATGAAAAGTCTTTTAAAAGCCTCTCCATCTGCTCCTGCAAGTTAAAACACTCACAAGTGATCCTGTTTCTCACCCTTGGAGCTCTCAAGCCTTCTAATGCAGTATGTCAAATTAAATTGAAATTCTGCTCTTTCAAGCCATGTTTTTAAGAGTTTTCTTTGTGTTTAAAAGCACTGAATTGTCTTCCTTCTGTACTGATCAAATGGTTGATTACAGTGGATTCCAGATTTCAAAGCAGAGGTGAAATTCTCAGTTTTCTATTTTCTGATGTTCTAATTCTTTTCTAATTTTCTAATCCTTACCTTCCACATTCAAACCCACCAGAATTGAGAGATACTTTTGAGTTGTATTTAGGTGGATTATGTTAAGCCCATACTGTGACACATTCAGTCTCTTTTGAGCATGCAATGCACAGAATTTTTACATTATCTGGTAGTTTAAGCATTTGATAATAAAAGCTTAAAATTGAGGGAATTACAAGAGTAGTCTGTACAGGAAAACATTCATTTCTTTGTTGTAGGATGAGAGATACAGCAAGAAAAGTGGAAGAAAAGTATTTTTCCAACCTTGCAACACACGTGGAATTCCTTCCAGTGGAGTGGAGATCAAAGCTGACCCTCGATGGAGGTACAGGACTCTGTTCTTCTGCTGTTCCAGCAGCTGCAGGCTGCAGAATTCTCCCCAGAAATCTCATCTGTGCTCTCTGCTGGTGCTTTTTCTTTGGTTTGGTTTGCACAAATTTGAACATTCCCATCCCTGGGAGTGTCCAAGGCCAGGTTGGACATTGGAGCTTGGAGGAACCTGGGATAGTGGAAGGTGTCCCTGCCCATGAATGATCTTTAAGGTCCCTTCCAACCCAAACCATTCCATGGTTCTGTTTTATCTTTCTCCTGGATGTGATTTAATTCCCTTTTTTTATTTTCCCCAGACACTGTGGACTCCATAACTCCGGATAAAGTGCGGGGTTTGCGGGATATGCTCAACAGCAGTGCCATGGACATCATGTACTACACCAGCCCTCTCTACAGGGATGAGGTCAGTGTGGAAAACTGGTTTTTATGTAAATTCACTAGAGCAGGGCATAGAGGCTGAAAAAAATCTGGATTTGGGAATGTCAGGGAAGCTCCCTGCTGAGGAAAACCTTTGTAAAAGGTGTTGACACTTTTAGGCGTGTCATAAGGATAATTGTAGAAAATGTTTGGGGTTTTTTTGTTTATTTCCCAAACTTTCATACCCTTTCCTACCTTCTCAGAGCAGGGTTTTGGCAGAGTTATCCATATAGGATTTTTGGATAGTGCAGGAAGGCCCAGCACATGGAGCAGCTGAAGCAATTCCTGTCCCAGGTGTTGGTAGTGATTTATCCTGACCTGTCTCACTTCTCCTGAAGAACAGAGGAGAACAAAGACAGCAAAAAGTGCAATCCATAGCATTTATTCAGAGCAGAAATGTGTAAAATGGTTCTGTATCAACAGCTGGGAAATGGGAAGGGGGTTCATGTTGTTCTCCTTAATCTCTGCATATCTAGATGCCCACAGAGCTGAGGTTCTTTTTACCTCTGATAAAACCCATGGGTATTTGTCACTTCATTTCTGCTGTTTCTGGGGACAGATGGGATGGCAGCACGAGCAAACGTGCCCAGTCTGAAACGCATTTGTGTGCACTTGCCTTGCAGGGACACCAAAATGATCCCCAGTTACTTTATTAGGGGGCTGTTCATATCCTGGATGCTCCCATCCCACCTTGACCCGTCTGTGTAGCTCTTGAGTGACCCCATTAACCAGAGGAGAAAAACCAGGAATAACATCATAAATTATAGTGACCTGTAAAGAATGATAAGCCTTGAATAAATGATAATAACCTGAATAAATGAAGTAGCCCATAAAGCATGGACAGTGCTTCACCCCAGCAGCACCCCTTGTGTATCACACTTACTGGAAAAGCCCTGTGGGGCTGTTTTAGGATGAATTTCTGTAGGAATTGTAGCTTTTTTTCTGTGGTTGCTGTGTTATTTATGAGGTAGTGTTAAACCTTTTGCAGCCTTGGTGTCCTGAGCATTGTTAGACTGGGGTAAGGTGAGACTTTCAAGTCTTACCTGGATATTTGATGCTACCTTTCACTCAAATTAGGTGTGTTTAAGTCCTTTAGACTGGCAGCACAATTTTCAGACCAAAATCTGTACCTCCCTCCTGCTCAGTAATGCAGAATTCATTGATCAAGGCTCTCCACTGTCTCTCAGGTTTCCCTGCCTGTTGTGTACCTGAAGCCAACACAAATTTTTGTGGCAAGCCATGGAAATTTCTCTGGCAGCTTGAAAACAGATATTTTTTTAACTGCATTAGAGGCTTGGCATGTCTGTGGACATCTTAGGGGAAATGGATTAGTGAGTAAAGTTCAGGTGTGCTGGCCAGCAGTGCATGAAAATTTAATTCATTGCTCAGTAGAATTGCAGTTTTACAGGTTTATCACCATCCCCTGGGTGTGAGAACTGACATGGAAGGAGTGTGCTTAGATCTGATTGCAAAATACCAAGTTGGTTTTATTCATCAAATCAAATTAATTTCCTTGAAATGTTTGCCACAATACTTTCAAGTTACTCTTCCTTATCCCATTTTATTTTCTGTGACCTAACTTTGCAGAGTTTGACACAACAGTGTCAGGTGGAGCATTCTTCTGGATGGTTTTTCCATCTTCAGCATGTTTTTCTTGTGGCACTTTGCTCCTTCCAGCTCAGAAATGAGCCTTGGCTTTGAGGATTCACATATTGCTCAGAATTCATGGCCCTGCTCACTGCTGTATCACCCCAACACAATTCTTTGTGTACTCTGGGCACTTCCAGTGCTTCCCACCCAGAAATCCTCAAAGGATCTCAAAAGGGGCTTATTTTATTAAACTTTCCTTTGCCTCTGGGAAATAAACTGAGGAATGTGGAGAGTTGATCCTGGAGAAGAGTGAAGCTGCCACTCAGCTGATGGCTCTCAGAATCCCAGCCTGGTTTGGGTCAGAAGGGATTTGAAAAAACATCCCATTCCACCCCTGCCATGGCAGGGACACCTTCCACTGTCCCAGGCTGCTCCAAGCCCTGTCCAGCCTGGCCTGGGACACTGCCAGGGATCCAGGGGCAGCCACAACTTCTCTGGGCACCCTGGGCCAGGGCCTGCCCACCCTCACAGAGAAGAATTCATAATTCCCAACCTCCAATCCATCCCTGCCCTCTGGCAGTGGGAGCCATTCCCTGTGTCCTGTCCCTCCATGCCTTGTCCCCAGTCCCTCTCCAGCTCTCCTGGAGCCCCTTCAGGCCCTGCCAGGGGCTCTGAGCTCTCCCTGGAGCCTTCTCCTCTCCAGGGGAACATTCCCAGCTCTCCCAGCCTGGCTCCAGCCCTGGAGCAGCTCCGTGGCTCCTCTGGACTCTCTCCAGCAGCTCCTCCTGCTGCTGGGAGCCCCAGGGCTGGCAGAACATTCCAGATAACCTCCAGTGACCGTGTCACCCCTGTGCCCAAGGCAGGGACACAATCCTGTCCCTGCTCCCCTCAGTGCCAGGGGGGCAGCCCAGGTCCTGCTGGCACTTTGGGCTGCACCCAGGGCACAGCAGGGATGGGAATTTCCTTTCCCCTTTCAAGGACTTTCCCCACTTACAAGTATCACAACTTCTCCTTTAAAGCTCCTGAGCACTCTCCAGACAGCTCCTGAAGGGGTTTGCAAGTGGCAGCCCCTCTGTCCTCCCAGGGAAGGGTGTCGCTGTCACTTGTCCTCTCAGTGTCCCAGGAGAGCACAGAGCTGTCCCAGGGCACTGCATGGCCCCTTTGAGCCCCCCAGAGCGTGGTGGGTGACCCCCTCTCTGATTTCAGGGATTGTTTCTTCTCCAGTGGGGCAGGAGAATATCCAAAAGGTGCCTCTGACTGCTGGCATGTGATGTGATAGCAGGCAGGCATGAATAATTCAGCACAGCCCTGTGAAGATCCCAGTCAGATTCAGCTGGGCTGTTCTGGTGGGAGAGAATGCTGCTCTGTACCAAAACCCTCTTTAAACATTGCCCAGATGTAAGAAAAAGCAATAAATTGATATTCTGATGCACACAGGCCTATTTCTAAATGAGCAGTCATTTCACATTCTGCCCCTGACCTTGCTGGTCCATCTGTGGTAACATAATCTTGGGTTTTAGTGTCCTCAGTGGGGGACTTTGGTTCACATCTGTGCCACTGTAGCTTCATATTTCTTTAATAATTAAAAATGGTTGCAGCAGAGATTAGAAAGACTAATTGTTGCATAGTAAATGCAGAGTTGTCACCTTCATTATACTGTTAAGTGCCTCTTTTTTTACTGATTTTCCCTGTACTTACTTGCAGGCTAATTGTAATTCTGTGAATTATTGATATATGTGTTGGCAGAAAATGCCTTTAGTGCAGAATAAATACCATTTGCATCCATCTTCCCAAGGTTTCTAAGGATTTAGTGCAAATATTGCATTATAAAAGTGGAGAAACTTCACTGTCCACCTTAGAATCATGGAATAGTTTATGTTGGAAGGGAAATTAGGGATAATCTCATTCCAATCCCTGCCATGGGCAGGGACTACTTCTACTAGAACAGCTTGCTCAGAGTCCTGACCTTGGAATGGCTTCATGGTTTGCCCTTATACACATATTTAAAAGGAGAATTAATGACTAAGCTCTTGAAATTTGGGACAAGTATTAACTTTTACCAGAGCTTTCATCCCTTTGGGTTGTTTTGCAGTGGAAATACCATTCTGTGTCACTCCTTTCAGCAGTAAAAGGCATCTGATTCAGGTGTGTTTGAAAACAAGATGGGAAGCAGGAAATTTTAAGCTGAGACTATGTCAGGACTGGTTTTGCATTTCCTGTTGAAGCTAATAGTGAAGGAGCTGCTTGGCTGGTTTAATTAATGGCTGGTTTAGTTAATTTGATTGCCCTTGAATGTATTCTCAGCTTTATAAAGTCACTGGTTAGTGGCTGTGCCTGAGCCTGAACTTCATCTTGAGCACAGTGACTTGTTAGAAATTGGGTTCAGCTTTTCAACAACAAGAGGGGTCCTGGGAGAGAGGCTCAGGCAAATCCACAGATCCTTTTTTTGTGCCATCCCTGAGACAGAGCCCTTCCCATCTGTTCCCACAGCCACAGCTCGTTCTGGCCTCTCATCTGTTGTTGTGACACTCCTCTGGCATCCACCAGTGATGCCATCAGGGAATGTGACAACTGTTGTCTCCTTGGGGGTCACCAGCTCTGCTGGCACTTTCTCCTGGGCCACGTGGAGCAAAAACTCCTCATCTCTGCTTTCCCAACCCTTCCCAATCCACCCTTGGCTCGGCAGCTCCTCCCCTGGCTTTCAAGGACCCTCTTCCCCTCCAGCTGGCTCGCACTCCTGCTGCCTGCTGGCTGAATTTCAAACGAGTTTGCACTTTTCTCCTGAAGTTCTCTTGACATTTGGGAAGAGCTGCTTGCAGGGCTCACTGTTCCTCAGCTCTCCTTCACACTCCTTCCCCACAAAGCCTGCAGAAGCAGTCCTGCTCTTCAGGCTGGAGAGGGTGCACAGGTCAGGTGTGCTGCACTCCCATTCCATAGGTACCTGGCTCTTGTTCTTATTTTTCTTCAAACTGTTCATGTGGGAAGGTTGTTTAGTGAGGATCCTGTGGAGACAGCGCAGAGAAAGGAGCAGCACTCAAGCTCTGTGTTACTGCTGTGCTCAGGTGTCAGCAGGGGTTTTCTGCTCCTTGTTTTCATGAAAAAAAAAATTCATTTCTTGGATACTGAGAGGAAAATGTCATTTTCTACGCTGGTAATTTTGGTGTGCATTGAAAACCCCCTTCAATCCCAACAATCTGCCCCTAAAACGGACCAGGGGATGGAGTTCTGGATCTCCTTGGTGTGTGTCCAGGGGGTGTTTGTCCACACACACATCCCAATTTCCTTCTGCTTTGCCAGGAACATGCTAGCCATGCTTATTTATGCTGGTGTCTTCAAGGCTGCTTTTCCTCAGAGGAGGGTGAACAGCTGTTTGGGATAGGCTGTTATTTTTTGATT